TCGCCCCTCCACAGCTACTTTTTCAGCTCGAGCCACAACACCTACCTCACCGGCAACCAGCTCTACAGCGAGTCCAGCACCGATGCCTACAAGAACGTCCTGCTTCGCGGCTGCAGGTGCATCGAGATTGATGTCTGGGACGGGGACGACTCGGACTCGGAGAGCTCCATCAGCAGCGACGAGGAAGGAACTGCCCCCGTAGCCTCGGCGCCCAAGAAGAAGGAGAAGAAGGAGAGCCGACTCCAGAGACTCAAGGACAAGGTGCCGAATCCGCTCGCACGAAAGCTCAAACGCTTGTCGTTGACAGGCTCCGAAGCGGCCGCGAAGCCCAGCAGCAGCGAAACGAAGACCCCTGCTGCGTCCTCTGAACCCTCGGCGCTGAAGAAGACACCGTCTCCGCAACTGGCTATTGTCGAGCCACGTGTGCTCCACGGGTATACCCTTACCAAGGAGGTCTCGTTCCGCGATGTCTGTGTCACTATACGCGACTACGCCTTCAAGACAACGGATACGCCGTTGATCGCCAGTCTCGAAGTGCACTGCAGCGCTGAACAGCAGAGCATCATGGTGAAAATCATGAAAGAGGTCTGGGCCGAGCTGCTCGTTCCCACTCCCGATGCTGAGGCCACGCAGCTGCCCCAACCCGGTCAGCTGAGGAACAAGATCATCGTCAAGGTCAAGTACGCTCCTCCTGGTAGCTCACCCGGACGCGACACTCCGGACCAGGACGATGAGACGCCTGCCGATGGCAAGAAAGCCAAGCCGTCCAAGATCACGCAGGAGCTCAGCGATCTGGGCTTCAACAGCCGTGGCGTCTCTTTCAAAAGCCTCGACCAGCCTGAGGCTGCCATGCCGACGCACATTTTTTCCCTCGCTGAGAAGAAGGTTATCGACGTGCACGAGGAAAACAGCAAGGCTCTCTTCGCGCACAACCAGAACTACATGATGCGCGCATACCCTTCAGGCATGCGCATCAGATCCTCCAACCTTGACCCTGCCCCCTTCTGGCGCAAGGGCATCCAAATCGTGGCGCTGAACTGGCAGAGATGGGACGAAGGCATGATGCTGAACGAAGGCATGTTCGCTGGCACGCACGGCTATGTTCTCAAGCCCGAGGGCTACCGCGGCTCCAAGGGCGTCACCCACGTAGAAAATGTCGTCCCCGCCTCTCAGATCATCCGCAAGACGTTGGACTTGCAGATTGACATTCTCGCCGCGCAGAATATACCGCTGCCGCCAGGTGACGACGACGCCAAGGGCTTTAAGCCATATGTCAAGGTCGAGCTCCACATCGAGGGGCCCGAGGAGCACATCGCCGACGACGGGCAGGAGAGGGAGGGCGAGTACAAGGAGCGCACGCAGACGCTGCGCGGGCGCGATCCGGACTTTGGCGGCGAGGCGCTCAAATTCACGGGCATCACGGGCGTGGTTGAGGGAGCTCGCGTTTGTGCGCTTTCACCGTTCGCGACGATGAGTTTGGGCCGTGATGATCTGTCGGCGTGGCCGGCGTCAGCCTCAACAGGCTGCGCGGGGGCTACCGTTTTCGTGCACCTGTCCCGACTGCGAGGGCACCTCACCCCAGGGCGTGCTGCTTTGTGCGGGTTGACGAAGCTTCTTGCGATAGGAGCTCTCGCGTGACTTCTCAGGACATGGTAGAAGAAAGTGAGAGTCTGGGAAGGGGGTTACGAAAGCATGATCTGAAATGTGGAAATGACAGCATTGCGCATCTGAGAAATATTTGAAAAATGTGTCTAGAGAAAGTGAAAAACAAAGTCATTATGATTATCCTCTCGTTCATTCGCTCGCCCATCCGCTCAGACTGGGACGCCAGCCGCCTTTTCCCGCTTGGCCTCCCCCTTTTCGGCCAGCTTGGCGCTGTGCAGCTTGACGCCCGCCTTCTCCATCAGCTTGCCCGTTTTGCTGTCGCCCTTGGCCTGGCTCTGGCCGACAGGACTGACACGCGGGGCGGCGGCGTCGCCATGCGGTGTGCCGGCGTGACTGGCCTCGGAGGCGATCTCTGTCGGAACCGTGCCGTCAGGGTTGCGGTGCGTGGTCTCGGTGCCTTCCATCTCCGTGCCCATCGTCGTCTGCCGGTGCCGAAGCGTGGGATCCGTCAGCGAGGGCCCAGGGCCGCTGGCGGGGCCGGTGCCGAGCCCGAGACCCGAGGACTGGGCGCGCTGCTCGTAGGTCGGCAGGCCAGAGGACGTGGAGGCGCCGAGGCTAGAGTCAGAATGGGTGTAGGACAGGGAGTCTGCGCCGTGCAGGCCGGAGGCGTGGTGGGGCTGGAGGCGCCGGTCAGTTCCTTGGAGGTCCGAAAGGAGAATGGCAGATGCGGAACGGTGGGGGGTGGGGACGCACGACGTCTTGGGACATGGCGGCGTGGTGTGAGCGAGAGGCCTGCGAGGTGAACCTTCTGGTCCGGGGGCGTCTGAAAAGCTTGTGCAAGGTTTGGCGGTGCTTGGAAGGTGGAGGTTTGATAGTATGGCTTGTGTCTTGTGTTCGGAGAGAAGCTTTCCTCGGGAGGAAAAGCAGCCGGATGTACCCAAGAGATATAGTTCCTCTTCCCGTCCCCCTCATTTCAACTCGAACAGCCTTGTCAGCTCGCCATCGATGTCATATTGTCAAGCGGGCGCTGGATGCGTGGGATGACAGGCGTGGCGCGTGTGGTGTTACGCCAGCGGCCCATTGAAAGATGACGACGCTGCTCGGGCCGAGTGGGTGTGATGGATTTGCCTCATGGAGGGTGGATTATCAGTGCGGGTTTCTCAACCTTGTGTTTCCAAGCATTCATATCGAAAGCGCATTGTCCATCTTCATCGGCCAATAATGCACTCCTGAGACTGGTGCTCTGGCTACGGCTTGAGAGGTGCCCTTCTACGGTGCACTGAGGCTTCCATTGCCCGGACTCTGTGATTTTCAGTGGAAAGATGGGACATCGGAATGACACACCCATCACTTGGTTGAGAAGGAGAGCCGCAAGATGGGACAGCCACCGGGAAAGAGTGCTCAACGGACGACATGTCGTCACGTCACAGCTCACAGTGGACTTCGGTACGTCATCTGGGAAAGGCAGGGGCCTGGCGGGTCTATGCTTCCCGACCCGACACAAGCTCCGCTTCCCCACAATTGGCTGGTGCCAGCCTCCAAGCTCTTGCCCCTTACCCCTGAAAGACCTTTCAGTACGCCAGCCCTACCTAGCTGCCTGGGTAGGTGGGATGACTACAGCGTGGACGACAGTTGAGAGGCATTCGATAACTTTATGTAGAAGATTGCGCAATTTGCTTTAAGATCTAACTTATACAAGCGGTATGTATTAGTTGTCGCTTCAGCCTACTCTGGTTCTCCTTGGAACCGATGGTGCTGCTCAGTTTCGACTTTTGCTTGCGACTCAACTAAGGCTACCTATAACGAGACAGGCTTGCAGGACGACCAAGTCGAATGGCACGGCCGGGACGGGCCGCCGACAAATACAGGTCTGACAATGTGTATACCCTAGCTGCCTAACAAAATTAGATCAGCCACCATTGTATCGCAGCGTCGGAAGACGACAGCGACTACGGCACCTCGAAAACAAACAGAAACTAGGCAGACTGGACCATTGTTGCACACTCTCCCATTCAACGCAGCCCTCTAGAAACTGAACTTCATCAAGGCCGGATTCAACAGAACGGGCAGCAAAAAGTGACACACGGTCACGCTCGCGAGCGGGTAGATGGAAGCAAACTCGTCGATGCGCCAGACCCGCGGGAACAGGTACATGCCGCATACCATGAGCGCCGTCATGAGGAAGCAGAAGAGGAATGTACCGCAGAAACTCTTGAGGATCTTGGGAACCTCCTCCAAGAAATTACACCGTTCCACCTCCTTGGATGTTGCGCCCCACTGGATATTGATTTCGAAGAAGTGGCAAAGGAGCGCCTTGGACACGTGAAGTGAGATGCCACCGAGGAATATGGTGAAGAGGGGAGCCCATTTGAAGTTGCAAATGACTGAGTCGTTAGCAAGCCTCTGTGTCGGGTTGATATGATACAGGAAAGTCACTCAAAGAAGAGAGGGACACACGTACGAGCTTGTATGAGGCCTTGCTGCCCCAGCCGATAACGCAGCACAGCAAGACAGACATTGCTCGCTACAGGAAAGACGATAATAATGGCGAAATAGACCGCGAACGAATCGATATAGTACTTATCATAGTGGCCGAAAAACCAACCGGTGAGAAAGTAGTTGAGCAGGGTTAATGGCCACGATAGACCAATTGCATAGTATGTCGTGATGTATGCCATTATGGTGCACTTCTTGTAGAATGGGATATTCGACCAAGCGAACTGGCGGAATAGCGGCGTGAAGGGACCTCTGTAGGGCCACTTTCGGAGAGGATGGAACAGCAGCTCGTTCACGCCGTACGCGTACTTTTCCCAGCGCATCAATTCGTCATAGACGGTCAGTGACACGCCCTCCTTGAAGCCGTCGCCTGTGTAGGCCCCGAAGCGCAGCTGGTAGCCCGAGGTCTGCAGTCGCAACGCCATGTCAAAGTCCTCGGAGACATGGGATTCGGACCAGAACTTCTCGCACTTGTCATGCTCGCAGATGTAGGAGGCAGCGTCCTGCAGCGCTGACCATCGCATGATAGCATTGTGCCCCACGAAGGGTGGAATGTCGCCCATGGCCACGGCAAAGGTGATGCTGGTGTAAATCAGGTTGGTAAACCAAGTGACTCTGGGGTCAAACGTCAGTAGGTCTCCAACGGAAAGCTCAAATTTGAACGGCAATGGCAATACATACCCCTTCTCGAAAAACGAGTCGCTAACATTCATCACACCTGATGTGTACTGGATAATGGCGACCTGTGGCGATGCCTCCATCTCGCTGACGGCATCGAGGAGACAGTCACTCGGGACTCTAGTATCGGAATCAATCAGGAGAATGTATTCCCCGATGCGGACGTCGCCGCCGGCCATGGTGCGTCCTTGATCCTCTTCAATGACCTCGTCCATGCATCGTCTGTATGCTTCTAACTCCGCGTCTTGATTCCATTTCTCATTGCGTTCCACGGTCAAGAGCTTGCCTTCGATTAGGTTACTGATCCTGAGGCCGTAATTCATATTCGACGCCTTCTTGAATCGCCCTCGCCGGACGAAAGCACGCGCCGTGGAGTCTTTGGGCTTGGGGTCATGCTTTGGCCGAGCCGTCCAGCCGATGTTGTGCTCGTCATAGAATTCCCGACGCATCTGCGCCTCGTCTTCAGATAGCAGTTGCATACCGTCGTCGTTGACAAAGATGTTGGCGCTCCCTCCCTGCATCTCATATGTTGAAATAGCAGTCTTGACTGACAGAACAGTGGGCTTGATGACAGGGTTCAGACCTTCCTTGTAGACTGGCATCTGTATAGTGACGTGGGGAAATGAACCCTGGGCTCTGTCTAGACGTCGCGGAGCCTTGCCTGAATAGTTCTGCGAGTTCTCAACAACGCAGCCAACAGGGCCTACAAGTTCAAAGATATCGGCCACGATAATGAGGAAGAAGAACTAGATCAAGTGAGCAGCAGGAACCAACAATGTTAAAGAAGACCACCTACAAGACTGACGGCGATTGTGAGCGGTGCAACGATGACGAGACACATCCTCAAGTAAGAGCCGTCAACGGTCGTCTGCAGAGCTAAGGCTCTCCAACCAAGGCCGAGACATGAGATGGAGAGGCAGAGAGCAAGAGATACAATGATGCAGCTGCTGAGCTTCAAGGGCCTCACCTCAGCGACGATGCCATTCTCCAGATCCGCTAGTGAGATCTCTTCTGGGATAGACTCCAGCGTGTGTCCTTTCTCGGCCCGCTGGTCCAACTCCTCAGCCATATGCCAGACATATCTGACAATCATTTGCTCGATATTTTCGGCTCTCGAAAGAACCTTCTGCGGATCGTCGTCCCACACCACCAACATCGGAGGGTCCTTGACAAAGGCGGCAAAGTGATGCTTGTGGCAGCTGGGGAGGTGCCTCATACTCGGGAGCACTTGGAGTTTTAGGCCATCGGATACTGGGAGCGACTGGAGGTGGTCGGGCACCCTCAGCATGATGGACTGAACAACCGGTGAGTTGACTGTAATGGCACACTGTCCCAGATTAGTGGCTGATCCATGCAGGCTGGAGGGACTTACCCACGCTGACGTTTAGCTGGCGGACCATCTCGAAGAAGCCATTCGGGATCGTTTCCAGGCTGGCTGGAGCACAGATGTAGTCCCCCCGGCCCTTCTTCAGGACGGCACCTTCCTCTGGGTCAAATCCAGACGCGTAGACTCTGCGCAACTGGTCTTGCCACAGGTTCTGTACCATAATCTCTGCTCTGATGTCTGCGACATGACCCAGATCCTGTCCTGCCCAGACGGACAAGCATGTGTCTGGCTTGTTATTGGTGCGAGGCGGCGGTTGGGAGGACTGAGACTTCAGTGAACTGGATTTTCGATGGTTTGTAGAAGACCGCCGGGAGCTCTCCGACTCGGAACGGCTTCCTGTAGTATTGATTTGGTCGACTGGGTGTTCACTAACAAAGTAGTTCCTGAGAGCCTTCATGATGAATGTGATACCTGGGGGTTGGAGGGATTCTCAGAGAGCTGCTGTGTAATTTGAGAATAAAACTGACATAACAATGGGCTTCAGGTCAAGTCTGCTATACTCAGAAATGGAATCTTATGATCAGCATTGCAACTGCGATATGAGGAAGAACGAATCCGACTGCAGGCTACCATATCAAATGGCTTTGATAAGAGATTCAAGCATATATTAAGGTCTCGATGGCAGAACTCAGAATCTGTCATGCAGGTGGCGGCCTCCGTACGTAGCAAGCCAAGCCAATGGAGTGATTCGGGATTAGGCGTGGCCATGGTTTTGGTTTGGGTGTACATGAAGAACGCCACCGCGCTGACTGGCAGCACCATCTACCATGGTCTGCTTGCACCATCGATAGAAGCTGAAGTCATGGAATTATAGCCCTGCAGTCGGGGTGGATCGATGTAAGTGGTCTTCACGTAGGCAAGACGGGATCCAGATTGGAGCACATTGGCCATCGTTTCGAGTTCCTTCGCGTTACAGCAAGATATATTTATGTCGTAGCTATACTCGCAGTCTTTGCCAGATCACCTGCATGCTCGAAAGATGCGATCGGCCTTGTTCGCGTCACTGACCTTGACACCGCAGTATGGCGTTGGTCCCCTGCTACGTGGCGTCTGCGAGGCGAAATCGCAGGTCCAAGAGGATATGTAGGAATAAAGCCACCGGAAAGAAGCTTGTTCTTCTTGGACATCTTACAAACCTTGTTAAGAGCGAGAGCCAACGATATCAGCTGGTTCGTACATGAGAGCAATGTAGCCCGTCGGTTCAGGTAGTGAGATGCTGCCGCTTGGCGATCGGACCTAGCTCTGGTCACAGAGAAATCACAGGCTCGGTAGAGCACCCTGACTTGAGTGAGAAGGTGTAAAAGGACACAGCAGGTTCTGGAAGATCCCGAAATCGAAGGCGAGCTTGAGGCTGTCGGGAGCCTCCAGCAGGTACAGGTGGTTGTCACTGCCCCACCCAAACATGCTGATAAGATAAGCCCAACTTCCAGCGAACAAATCCATGTGACGTGATGGCCTCAAGCTTCCTCCAGCAAAATGCACAACAACGCGGCCCTGAGGTGTTCGAGCACGGCGACTCTGTGACGAGGCGGACACAATGTCAGGCTACCCGACCTCTCCCCGTCGGCGCCACATTCTATCGTCGATCAACCCCGAGAACGACGACGACGAACCACCATCAAAGCGTAGAAGACGCTCCGCCAGCCCATCGCGCGACAGAGACGAAGAGAGATCGCATGCCCGCAGGGAACACACAAGGAAAAGAGACACAGAACGAGACTCACAGAAGAACCGACCGCCCCGAGCTCGCTCGAAAGATGAGGCCCGAACCTACGAAACAGAAGAAACGTCCGGCGCGGGAGACCACAAGCCCAGAGCCAAGCGCTTCCGATTCAAGTCCTCCCATTCTCGCCCGTCGCACCGCCACGACGATGACCCGGAACACCGCGCCTCGTCGCCATCGAGACGGAAGCGTCATCGACGGAGACAGCCCCGCTCTCCGACGCCGCCCGACCCGTACGCCCCGCAACCGCTCTCCCCCGATGCCGCCTTTCGCGAGTCCCTCTTCGACGCCATGGCCGACGACGAGGGCGCCGCGTACTGGGAGTCCGTGTACGGGCAGCCGGTGCACGAGTACGCGGCCGAGGCCCGCGGCGAGCTCGAGCAGATGAATGAGGAGGAGTACGCGACGTACGTCCGGCGGCGCATGTGGGAAAAGACGCATGAGGGTCTGCTCGAGGAACGAGAGGCGCGGAAGAAGGCGCGGGATGCTGCTCAGGAGGCACAGGCGCGCGAGGACAGGGATGCACGCAGGCGAGAGAGGGTCAACAGGGAGATGGAGGAGAGTCTGCGGCGCGGGGAGGAAAGGAGGGCCCGGCGGGGATGGAAGGACCGGTTTGCAGAGTACGGCCGGGCCTGGGCTGCGTGGGAGGCCGATACAGGCGCGAGGGATGCCAAGGATCTCCCATGGCCTGTGGAGAGCGGGAAGAGAGCAGACGTCGGCGATGGAGCGCTCGTGCGGCCGTTTTTCCTGCTCGGATTAGATGCCGCGGGCATCGGGGAGAGGGATTTTGCGGCACGGTTGCGGGAGGAACGGGTTCGGTGGCATCCGGACAAGATTCAGCAACGGGTGGCCGGAGGTCATGTCGACCCGGAGGTGATGCGAGATGTGACGGCCGTGTTCCAAGTGGTGGACAAGCTGTGGGGGGAGACTCGCCAGGGCAAGTGAAGCAGGGCTGCTTTGCGACACGATTTCTATGATACCCATCCATGCATACACCCAACATACAGACAGATACTGGCAAACGATCTCAAATTTCGTGCTTTTACGTCTACACCCGAGGAAAATCAAGCTTTGCGCCCGCTTGCGGTGGTAGGAGGCAAGACCCGCCGTCGGAAAGGACGAAGTGAATCAGGCGTGAAGAACCGAAGACTGGGCGTCCCTCCTGTCTGGGGTGAATAAGCCTCAACGACAGCAAGGGCGGGAGGATGCAGCAGTGTAACGTAATGGAGCGAGACAGGCCACGCAAGGCGAAGCAGGCAACACAAGAAAAGCGGCTGAAGACATGCTGCACTTGGAGGAGATGACTGGGGACGATCAACAGCAGCTCACCAGGGTCATACCGATGGGCCAAAACAGTCCACTTTACACGCACAGGCGTGTTGCTGTGTAAAATGACAAAGCTAGTATGGTATGATATGATGATAGGTGCCTCGGAGTATTTTCTCCTCCTCTTGCATGAACCACACGGTCAAGTCGAGGCCAGATACACTGGCGAGAAGCTCACCCCCCCCCAACCCCTGGTAGGCGGCTGCCGCCCCAGCCTCGTGTGGGTTGATTCTTTTGCTTCAGAGCCGCCAGTCCGTTTCAGAAGCAAGGATACGCTCCAAGCTCTCTCGTAGAGAAACTCATGTCTGAAGGATTTCTCTCTCATCACCAGCCACGCCCCAGTCTCCCCATCCTCCTTCCGCGGCAACGCCGCCTTGGGCCCGAAGCAAGCCCAAGGCGCTGTCACTCCATAGTCCCCCCCCCATCGTTGTTCCGATAATACAAAACGCAATGCAGCATTCGGGGGCCGGCGGTTGTCCCGTCAGCATGTCGTCAACCTGACATGGGCCCTTGTCCACATCGGTAGCAAGCACCCGAAGGGCGAGGTAAGGCGAGGCAAGAATAGAGTTACATAGCGCCCCGCCGCCACGGGCTGATGTTGGGGGGTTGTCTCTGAATGCATGCATGCAGCAGGACAGGACGCCGTGTTGACAGAGACACGCATTTGCATTGCATTTATTGATTCCTGGGCCGCCAGTGTACACGACAAGAGAAGCAAGAAGGCCTTCGTGGGCCAGTGTAGTAAAGAGATTAGTAAAACAGTAAAGGAACACGAGCAAAAAAAGACGCCCCTGGATTTTGAAAGAGACACACCCCCCCCTTGCTGTGCATGGTACGACATCGTATTCGCGGCCCCTTTTGCTTTCCTGCCGTGTCCTTTATTTTTTTCTTCCTTCCTTCCTTTCCCTCTGGTCATGTCGGGCGATGCAGCAAAAGATGATCTTTTTGCGTCTCCACCCTCAGAGCCACTCTATGTCGCAGTCGAGCTGAGCACACCACTTTGGTGAGCGCCCAGCACATCAGCGGGCTTGGTTGCAGGTTGGACTGGTGATGGGGATTCGTGCTGCAGACTTGGTGTTCTCCACAGATTACATCAGATCAGATCGGACGGTTGACGCGCGTTGGGGGGCGAGAAGTCGTCGCACTTGTTGCCGAGGCTGGCTGTGAGTATTTCCAGGCAGGTACCTAGGGAGGTTCCATACATGTAATCCATGGGTACTTCCTTTGAGGCGGGTGCGAGTCGGCACAGGCAGCTATGGATCAACAACAGTGGAGCAGGAGCTGGGTGACCGTCCCTTCAGCGGAGAGACAAGTGCCTGTTTTGTCATCCAGGCAGGGCAACACTGCTGAGGGAGCTGGCAACAGTTGGGGTGGCTCAGCGACCCAGCGCCCAGAGAGAGGCCCAGTAGTCAGTGGCCAGCGACCAGCGGTCTCCCTCCGCACCCGCACCTACTATTCTGGATGGCTGGAAGGAGGCATGCGGTAGACCCGCGTGGAGAAAGAGCTGCACGCCCCGCTCCGTCACCCCTGCCCCTGTCCTTCCTCTCCCGCCAGGGATTGAAACAGTGCCGCAGTGCGCATCGCCGATCCCGACTACAACGCATCCATCACACCATCTGCCGACCTTGAAACGACAGCTGCTCGACTCGACAACAGGCCGTCCGCCTTGCTTCCTGACACTTCAACCGGTATCCGTACGCTGGCATGCTCGCTTGGCACAGCAGTGACTACGCGCATCGGATTTCAGCTTTCGCCGTGAGAATGGGGGAATCGTGGTTGATGCATTGGTATATTGATTATACTCCGTGAATCCAGAACAAAAAGTGTTTCGAAGAAAAAGCCCACCCTGACACAGGCCCGACAGTGGGAGACAGTGCTGATGAACCCCCCCTTCCCAACTAATTACATTCCATCTCTAACAACACCGTTCGTTTCCTACGTCCCCCATGATCGAACACTTCAATTCACGGGTTCCAGGCGGGAGAGAAGAGAACTCTCCACGTGTCTTCTCATTACAGTGCCTCGGGCGAGCGAGGCGAGACGTCGGTCGATCGGGCCCGGCCCTTTACAGGTTGGCGAGGAGGGCGGCACCGCCGAAGAGGGCACCGACGGCGACGGCGCCGGTGACGCGGGGGGCGGGCGAGTCGCCATCGCCAGTGCGGGTGGCGCCGGCGGCCGCGGTGGACAGGCTCGAGAGCTGCTCCTGGATGGAGGTGGAGGCGGCGCCGTCGGTGGCGGTCGAGAGGGCATCCTCGAGCGAAGACTGGGCGGCGGCGATGGAGGAGCTGACCTCGGCGTTGCTGGCGCTGGAGGTGGCATCGGCGATGGCCGAGGAGACGGACTCGCTGATGGACTGGATGACGGAGCTGGCCTCGTCGAGGATGGAAGAGGCAGCCGAGGGAAGGGCACCAGCGCCGGAGGTCACATCACCAGCGACGGAGCTGGCGACAGAGCCGACATCGGGGATCGAGGGCAGCGCAGACTCAACCGCCGAGGGGACAGCAGTGGGGACCGAGGGAGTGGTGATGGTGAGCTCCTGGGCCTGAGAGTATTTTGTCAGTACGGAACGAGAAGCATACAAGTCGCAAGAAGTAAGTAAGATGGGCTCGACATACAGCAGCCAGGGAAGCGAAGGCGAGGTAAGTGACCGAAGTGTAACGCATTTTGGCGGTAGTGAGTGTTTGTTGAGGTAGGGTGATTAGGGTGTATAGTAGTAAGACGATATATTTCGAAACCGAAAGAGAGTCGTTGGAAGTACTGGATTGCTTGTTGCGGATGAGGAGCAGAAACTATGTGTACTGCATTGTGATCAAGGGGCGAGGTTTATATATGTAGGGAGCTCACGGAAACTGGCAGATGCAAGACAACGCAAAAAGAGTGACATGCCCCTCCCCTCCAAAACATGGCATCGAGCCAAGCAACGACACCAAGCCTCGAGGCGTCCTCCCACTTGCGCAACCAGGCAACCCACCCGGGGTCCAGGATCTGTCTCCCGCCTTGCCGCAAGGAGTAGCCAAGCTGGTTCATCGCTCATGCCTCAGGACCGACCTCTTCCTGTTGTTTTCCCTGTTGGTTGTTGCACCATCAGACAAACCGAGCCACTCACACCTACACGCCACTGCCACCATGCAAGCTCCCAGACCCAGACGTACCGCGCACACCCCCCCCCCCCTCCCCTGGACCTCACGTCATGTACTTTGGCAACGCGCAGGGCGGTGGGGTCCAGCGGAATTCATCGAGCCCCGTCATGGCCCCATCGTTCGAAGATCTTCCCAAGCCGCTTGCTGGAGTACCATGTAGGCCGCTACATACCCATGACTTTCCGGGGTGGCGAGTGGGCCGAGATCTGGCAGAGGCAGTTGGGCGGTCTGGCTGTCACTATCGATAGAGAGCCATGTACCTTTGAGCTGGCCCAGAGGCTGGCAAGAAGCGCGAGTTGAGCGACAAGTATCGTAGGATACCTGACTACTGGCAAGGTCCTCTGAACAATGATCGCTTGGTGCATAACCTGCACAAGCGAGGATCGGAAAAAAAAATTAGCAACAGACAAAGCAAGGAAACGAAAAGTCAGATTCGCAGCAGATCAGCAAAGACAAGCCAATGAGTGAGCCGTCGGTACCTAGGCCTGTATGCATCCACGGCGGCAGCATTGGCGCTGTGGCTGTTCGCAACACAACAAGCCACGCCTCGGACACTCGCCACGCTTGATTTCGTAGGCGGCGGCTCTTCTCTCCCGGCTAGCCTCGCTGCTTTCTTGCTTGACGGTTTTCATGTTGGGGTGCGTCTAGTCCACTCTCGTTCTAGATCGACAGGAGGGTGTGGGGTGGGAAGGCGTAATTGTTACCGAATAAAGCAACGAGGCCAGAACAGAGGCGGCAGAGACAGACAGGGTGCTTGAGAGAGAGACTTTGACCGAATTGCCTGTCCCATCCAGGCCGTTTGCCAGCCGGCCAATCGACCACTCGAGCCTAGGTCTAGAGCTTCGCCGCATTTCGGCCCTGTCTCTCAATCCAATTGGTATTATGGGTGTGCGATCCAGGCTGTTGCGGCTGTGACAAATGTCTGGGTAGTGGAGCAAAGGAGAGGCGCAGACACGCGAAGGACGCACCTAGCGAGACGCAAGATCAGCCATCGGATAGTCCATTCGCCTGTACTATCGGATCGTGTTTTTGCCCGTTTCTTTTCACCATGGTGGGCCCAAACACACGTGCTGGATTCGCAATGCCCATCCTCGCCACCCCTTGGACGGCTGACATGGGAAGGCTCGTGGTACGCACTCTTCTTGCGCATGCGAACGCGCGCCGGGCACAAACTGCCTATCGCGCTGAAGGTCGCTAGAAAGCTTGCTCCCAGACTCTAGCCCAGGCGAGGTGGACGCTACCGTCAGCCAAGCCGGCCTGGGGAATGAAAGCTGCTTGGCGTACTGTGTGCTCTTGCGCTGTGCAGCGAGCGAGCAAGAGCGTGACCGCCCCTGCTGGCGAGCGAGACGAGCTTCAGACTCCCCAAGTCAACAATCTCGCCAGGGCGGCAGGGCGGCAAGGCTGGCCAGGGCCGCTGGAACATGGGAATTGCACTGCAATTGCGGTTTCTCCCCGCCATCACCCATGACGTCCGCCGCCAGGTGACCGGGTGCCGTTGAGCTTCAAGCGTATATCCCTGCCCGGCCTGAGGTACAAGTAGCTTGCGTCCGGGTACCCCTGTCCCGTGCATCGGCTTTCGTCCACCAACAACCAGGTTCACTGTTGCGGCGTCTTGGTGCTCCGTTCATTGCGTCACTTGCCAATGTTCCGTCGTTTCGACCAAGCCGCCGGCAGAACTGGGAGAGATGAGGTTTCGGAGACGACGTCCAAAGCACATTGCGGTTCCGAACACATCCACGAGCTTGACGTGGGACACGATCAAAATAAAGCAACGTCCGAATGTGAGACTGGTGTGGATGCCAGACACGGCACAGTGTTGGTTCTCTGCAGGAACAGTTACTTGAGACGCTTTCACTCCAAAGGTCTGTCCATTCATCGCACTTCGCCTGGTGAGTGCCGAGCCAGGCAAATCTCCTGAGATGGAGCAGTCTCATAGGTGGACGTTGCTTCTTCCTGGCCAGCCCCTAGTATCCGTGATCACGCTGTTTTGCAAGCGAACAAGCATTGGAGTGTAGTCAGTCGTCTGTTGTCCGTTGAATTCTACGCTTTTCTCTCGCTCCTTGGTCGAGGAGGCCTCGGCCAGACCGATCATCGGAGCTATGCTGTGGATCGAAGTGCCCAGTGGTCGACTGTGAGCGTTGTTGTTGACATGCTCAGGTCTTCGACGGCCTTCTTCCCAGGCGCATCAACTCAACCAGTGCCTCACTCCGCCACGGGCAAAAGCCTGGTCTAGCTAGCGCGAGGGCCGCCCGCCCCCAGTCTTCCGCCCCCATTTGCCTTGTTTTACCCCAGTATTCTAGCGGTTGAAGGACCCGAATCCCCAATTGCGACATGGTGGGCCAGAATCACCCGCCGCACGCATGAGGGCGTCCAGGTTCGTGTGGTGGGGACCACAATAACTGGAGTGCGGGACGCGTCAGCTCATCCGTGTTAACCTCCATCTACCCACTGCAGGCGATCCTCCGTTACCAGCGTCTCTCAGATCCGCTGTGGTTGGCTGGTGCAATGGAATTCCTGCTTTCGATGCCTTCCTACCCGATCAGTGACGCGATTCCTCGACAAAAAGTCCGCGTTCCAGGCCAGTCGGCCGAATGTCGCTGTCACTGTGACGTTGAAGCTCGGCGAATTTTGACCTGTCACAGCCTGCCTGGTGCCTCTGAATGCCCATGCCAGTCTTCAGCGAAGGGTCGGTCAACATGAGCAGACCGACCATCCCGAAACAAACTCCGGTATTCAGGGGAGTCTTGCTTGTTGCCTTCACAACGAGGGTCGATCCAGCCCGTTTACTTTGCCTGTTTGCGGTGCGGTGAGTTGAAACACGCCGCTGTCAGCCGGTGACCTGGGCGACCATCTTCTTAAGTTCCGTCACCATATCGTTAGCCTCCGTTGGGTTCTTTGCCTCGAAATCGTAGCGCTTGGGTTCCGTATCTTTGTAGATGATGAGCTAGAAGAACCTTATGGTCAGTATTCCGCTCGAACAAGGCTTCCGTGGCGCCGTTGGGCAGCAGGATCTGTTGAGACGCAAGCGCGGCGCTACTCGGCTGCTTGGAGAGGCATCCGCATATCATCTCCAACAGACAGTGGCAGTACGTACCTTGAACTGGTTTGGATGCTTCGCAAACACTTTGCATCCGATAATCTGGGTCATGTGTGCCGTCGTCGTCTTGCCTTCACGTGCAGATGTTGGTTTGATGTGGACGTATTCGCCGTCAATCTCAAGCCGACGCTCGCTCTGGCTCATCATCCTGACTGTCCGCAGTCGCCAGACGGTCCATGACTTGCAAGACCCCGTGAGCTCCGCCTGCTTGAGAGCCTGCTGCGCCAACGGGTGGGAACCCATAATGTGTGTCCGTTTGGCCCTGCGCCCCGGTGGCCCATCTGAGAATGGCAGTAGCTTCGGCGAAGCACTGCTTGGCGAGCCCGTCATCGTTAGCGGGCCATCCGTTGCGAATCGTCGCCGGTGCAGCTCCAGGTCGGAAAGACTGCCGATTGTGCTGACTTTGGCGTCGAGCAGCACGACAGGGCCGCCGCCAGGCATCTTCAAAACGTGGTTGGCCTTATCCAGCTGCCGTTTACGACAGACCTGGTCTAGAACTTCGGCCATGTACGTGTCTGTCGTCACGTCAAGCGTGACCAACTGACCAGGAGCAATGTCGGTAGAGTGTAGGTGGACGCGTAGGAGCTTTTGCTGGCCTCGCGTCGCGCTCGGCGTTGGTGCTGGTGCAGCGGTCGGCTGGTCCATGAATACCGTGGGCTGCTGCTGACGATACGTCGTGTTCGTGACGGGGTTCGGCCGAGGTTCCATGGGCGGTGGCAGAAATGTCTGTGTGGGCTGCGGTGTGTTGCGCGGCGTCGTGTCCTCTTCGGCGGCCTCCTCGGCCGGCGCCTCCTCCTCCTCTTCCTGGGGCGTGGCGAGTTGGTTCTCTTCGAACTCTTCTTGCGAAGCCTCGACCAGGCCAAAGTTATCGTGGGTCTTGGAGTTGGCCCTCATCCGGCCGGCTGCCCTGTTATTGGCCGTGGTGAAGGACGCCAGGGCCTTGGTCCTGTCGAAAGGGGGAAAGTCATCATCTACTTCGCCATCCTCTTCGACCATTCTCAAGGTCCACCAGTTGATGTTGGTCTTATCACTTGGAATGGCTGGTTCTCTCTTTTCATCATTGTACTTCCAGAGGCTGAGCCCGATGAGGTCGGCCACTGTGACTGGTCGATCGCCTCCTTCGCCGTGGTGAACCATGCGACGGATGAGAACCTCGAATGGCTTCATTGGATTGTTCGAATATGCTGGGTAGATCTGCACCGCAATCGGGGCATTCTCTCCTTGTCCGGAGAGGCTAGCGAACCTCTCGAATGGGACTGTCGGCTTCGTCTTACGAGCCTTGAGAGCCGCAGAGAGCATCCCTTTCGGTTGAATCATGCTGATGGGTCGAATCATACTCATGGGGCGGGGAGGCGGAAGCGCCTGGAGAACCCGTGGGGGGGCCTGTGACCTGCGAATGGTGGAGGTTCGAGTAAATTGGCGCGGCGGTGTCCCGACGACTTGCCGGTCTGGCGAGGCCTGATTCGGGTGTTCAACCGTATCGAGGATACCAGCCGAGTCGATACTCTCCAGGAAAGCACCTGACAGGTCGGAGGCGTCCGAGTCGTCTTCCTCCTCCTCAGGGAGCAGGTCCGTGCTGGCCCGCCTGATTCCCTCGACAGGCTCCTCGTTGATTCGGGCCTGTATCCTGACGGCCTTTGTGGCCGCCTTGGCTGCTTCTCTATGCTTGTGGAACGCCGAGGCGTCAAACTCCGTATCGGACGATATCTCGCTGCTGGTGACAGTATCCCGGCGTGCTCTCTCCTTGACGACCTCCAGGGCGGACTGCGATCCCCGACGGGCGCCGGGGGCTGCGCGCGGAGAGGACGTGACTGCGGCTGCTTGGCGCATGGCGGAGGTTTGGTTCGGACTAGAGCCGGCTCTGGCCCTGACTGGCATCTTGGCGAACCTGATCTGTTGCGCCGCTCGTTGGGTGGCCTCGTCGTCGTCGCTTTCATCGGAGAGGTCGCTGCTGTCGTCGTCTTCGAGGGTCTCGCGCCGCCGCCTCCGCCTGGTGGCCAAGCCAGGGCCAAATGTATCGGTGCCTCCGCCTGTCAGGATTCCAGCTTCGTCGGGTTCGTCCTCGAGAGTCACGCCAGTGCGGCGGGGGGCCTGGAAGTATTCCGACGCGATGGCCGTTGGGATCGGGGGGGAGTAGCATCGTTTGCTCAAGTCGGGATTTGCCTGCCAGCCTACAGCTTTAAAGTCGGACGACTTCATGAAGCTGTCATTCAGCGTGATCAGTCGTTCGCCGACTCCATCAGCAATCTCCGTCAGGTAGCCGCAACGAAGCTGGTACGCAACCAGGCTGCGATGATCAGTCGAGGCCAGAGGGGATAGAAGCCGTGGGGCCAAACATACTCTTCATTTTGAAAGACCGACATGGCTGCTGCAAAAGGCCGAGGTTGTGTCGAATGTCCCTGGTTCGTAGGTACTGGGTGGACAAGAACGTCAATCGGTCAACTCACGACAGGCGCATGGCGAGGATGGAGAAAGGGGGGTAACGTCGCGCTGTCGGTAAAGGCCTAGAGAAGGCACCTCGCATTGCCAGAATGCGACCTTTGAGAAAGAAGATACAGGCCGTGTTTTGACTGGCAGAAGGTCAAGAAGAGAGGCCCTGAAATGTGACTGGCGATGCGGCGGAACAACTCTCGTGGTGTCGTTTCCAGCCTTGTGAAACCCCCCCGCCGAAGCTCCAGCGGAGCGTAGTCGCGCATGTCGGTCGACATGCACGGGCCCACACGAGCTTGATAACGCGGTAGTGACCGTGCGATAAGGCAGTTACTCAGTAGCCTCGCATCCACTTTTGAATCTGCGAGCGCCCTGTCCAGCAGGGAGTTGTGCATTCCTGCATCTACGACGCCACCTCAGACTTGAAGCCGGCAGTAGACTGAACCAAGTTCAAGGATACATCGACTGGAAATCATGGCTCTGGTCGAGTACTCTGATTCGGATTCGGATTCCGAAGCACCTGTCCAACCGACTGCAGCGCCTACAGCACCCGGACCAAACTCGAAGAAGCCCTTCCAAAAGGTCGTCAACCGCGCCAACCCCGGGAAGATTGTCGTCAACCTCCCTCAGACAAAGCGTGAAGACGTTGCGTCCGCCGATGATACTCCTCCAGCGAAGCGCACCAAGACGGGCGGCGGCGGCGGCGGTATGTTTGCCGGCTTCAGCTCACTACTGCCAGCGCCCAAGAATGCCGCGAAGAGACCGTCTGCGCTGAGCAGCAGCAGCAGCTCGTCGCGGCCTGTTTTCCAGCTCAAGACGAGCGCGGAAGCTGGCTTCAGTCGCGACAGCCCGGTTGCAGATTCTGGCGGGGAGGGCGAGGGTTCGGGCCTTTCGCTGCCGCCACCCAAGACGGCGCCTCAACCATCCATACCGGAGACGATGAAGCCTGAAGAAGAGGTCAAGCTGGTCGGCAAGCCCATGATGTTTCGGCCATTATCAGTTGCCCGGAACAAGAAGAAGCCGGCGAAAAAGCTGCCCCAACCAGCAGCAGCAGCAGCAGCAGCAGCAGTGCCTGTGCCGGCAGCTGCAGCACCATCTGTGAGGAGGCCGAGGACGCTGGGCTGCCGCCGCCACCGAAGAAAGATATCCCTCTTCTCCTCGACAGCGAAACGGAACCGCTCCGCTCCGAGCACGACGTCAAGCGTCAGAGCCTAATGAACTCTCTTTCAGAACGAAGCCGCCGCCGAGCGTGTACAATCCTACCTAGACGAAGGCTGCGCTCTACGCAAACACCCGACACCGACGACGGCGCCCACGTCCGACAAAGAATCGCTGCACACGATTGCAAACGACCTCAACCTCTCGGCGGCCGAGCGCCGCGAGCTCTTTGGGCGCGGCGGCCCGAGCAACGCCCAGGGCGCCGCAGCCACGAGGGTCATCAACTTCAACACGGACCAGGAGTACCAGCACAACGAGGATCTGCGCGCCTCGGGCCAGGAGCAGACTCACAACCCCCGTGCGCTCGATCGCGCCAGGCAAGCACAACCTCCGGCAGCTCGTCAATGCTGTGCAGAACAACCGCGATGCGCTGGAGGAGAGCTTCGCCAAGGGCAAGAGCAATCGCAAGGACGCGTCGAGCCGGTACGGATGGTAGGCGGATAGCGAGAATGATACCCCTCATGAATTTCATGAATTTCACATGCCCACAGGAAGTGGCCGGTTATGAATCAAATGTCGCCTTGCGAAAGACTTTCTTTTTTTCTCTCCCTCTCCGGAGTGCTACGATCTCGTCTAAATGGGTATGCTCGTAAATGGTGTGACAAAAAAGAAGAGAAAGGGGGACAACAGGCTGGACGCAATACAAGATGCAAAATACAGACGGACACTCAAGCCCTGGCGTCAACAGGTCACCACGGCCGCCGTCCTCCCGCTCTGGCGCCGCCCGGCCCCATGAGGAAGCC